AAATGTCAAAGGTCAATCATTGAAATATTATTTAACGTTATTAAATTCAAAAATTTCGACGAAATATTAATAATAATAATAATTTTATTACGAACAAAAGAAAAAAATTTTTTTTAAAATTGCACGAAATTTTTGTTTGTTATCACCCGCCCTCCCGCACGCACGCCCCCCCCCTGAAAAAAAAACCTGACATTTAACCGGGGGGCAAAATTTATTTATTTTTTCATAACTGTAAATTCATTCAAGTTTATCGAAAAGGAGAGAAAGAGAGAGAGAGAGAGAAAATTATAAAAATTTTGTAAAAAAATCTTAACGAAAACAAACACAAAATATTCCTTTTTATTACGACAAACAAAAAAAAAAACGTACCTGAAAAATTTGATTCATTTTGTATCGTCCAATAAAAAAACGGATCCAAAAAGTAATAATAATAATAATAAATAATTTATTTTAAAAAATTAATTCGCACTTTTTTTTTTTTTAAGAATTTTTTTTATCCATTTTAAATAAAATTAGAAAACAAACAAACAAACAAAAAAAATTTAGCATAAACTACCCGAACATTTTAAACGTTTGCACACAAACAACCAAAAAAACAACCAACAAAAACAACCAAAATTTATTTAAAAAAAAAAAAAAAAACGTTAAACATCCGAACACCGGACCGAATTCGATTCTTTTAGTGAAATGGAAGGTATCTCAAGAATTGACCTCACTTGGTAAACCGTGTTCAGGTTTGCCCAGGTATCATTATCCTTCTCTCTCTCTCTCTTTTTCTCTCACTACTACTATTTGACTTCTTTCTTTCTTACTTATTCACTGAATTTTTTCTTTTTTTTTTTTGTTCATTAATGATTAGGTTTTTATGGTAAAAATGCACGCATTTACGTAAAATATTTTTTTTGTTGGTTTGTTTGTTCGTTTGTTTCCTTTTATATTTTTCTTTTTTCAGTTTGTATAAAATATTTCGAATTTTATTGTCAACGATTTTAAATGGGGGACATTTGTGTGTGTGTCAGCCATCTTTTCTACCCGAAAAACGATTTGACGTTATTTGAATTTTTTTCTACGATAAATTCTGTTAGGATTACGGTTGGAAAATTATTATTATTATTATTACTTAACAAAATAATAATAATAATTTTAAGTGGAATAAAAATTAACGATCTTCCTAAAAAAAAAAAAATTTAATTTGGAAAATTCTGGAAAATATTTATTTGATTCCTATTTGTAGAGAAATGAAAAAAAAAATTTTTTACTTTTGGGTTCGTTTGTTTGTTGTTTGTTTGTTGTTTGTTTGTTGGTTTGTTCGTTTGTTTGTTGTTTGAATATTAAAAAAAAAAAATTTACGAAGCGTGAAATTTTGATGGAAAAAGTGAAAAGTTTCCGTTCCGAAAAAAAAAAAATTAATTAATAAAAATTTTTATGAAAAAGGGTAAAGGGGTAAAAGGGTAAAAGGGGAGATGGGGTGAAAGGGCAAAAGGGAGACGGGGTGGAATGGGAATAAGAAGAAGAAATAAAAAAAATTTGAGTGAAAAAAGAGCGAGCCGAGATTATTTTTTTTTTATTGTATTTTAAATCGTGAGGAAATTTTTCTTTTTGTTAAATTACGTCACGAAAAAGAAAAGAAAAGAAAAAAAACCGTTATGCGACGATTGTAAGACGCAACGAAATTTGTCGCAAGTTTACAAAATAACCGACAAAAAAAATTTTTTTGGGTAAATTTAAGTTTTTCATTACACTTACTACAATGATAACTTTGATTGTAACTTTTTTCTTTTTGTTCAAGGCAATCGTCTACCATTTTCAATATGTTGCCCTTCAACTTAACACACAAATATTACTTTTATTATTATTATCATAATAATAATAATTATTATCATCATTATTAATAAAAAGTGATGGTTCACGGTGCGAATATTAAACGAACCCATTTCGAACTTTTTATTTTTATTATTTTTAAAGGGGGGAGCCCGGGGGAAGTTATAAAAAAATTTTCCAATTTTCTTTTTGTTTTTTAGGTCGCAATGAAATTAATTTTATTTGAATTTTTTTTTTTTTCGGGATTGATTGAATCCAGTGAATGTAAAAGTCCTTGAATAGTGATGATGATGATGATGATGATGATAATTTAATCGCTAATTTCATTAATAACGCTCTAAGGTCAATGACAATGATGATAAAGATTTTCCAGACAATTTTGTGATTGAAAACATCCCAATAACTCATTCCTTTCCCCAAAAAATTAATAATAATAATAATTTGTTAACGTTCGAACCCGCATAACGGACACAAACAAAAAAAAAATTAATGTAATAATTAATAATAATAATAATAATGATTAAACAAATTCGGATACATAATTGTATAAATAATTTATGTAATTTAATGTTATAAATAAATAAATAAATAATTATTCGTATCGTCATCTTTTTTAACTATTAATTTACCATTAAAATAATAATTTCTCATCCATAACATATTATTATTATTATCATTATCATTATTAATAATAGAATTTATGTAATTTAATGAAAAAAAAAATTTATAAAAATTTCCATTTTTTTTTTTTTTTAAGGAGTAAATAATTTTCAATCGTTTCAAATATTTTTTCCTTTTTTTGTTTCTCTTTATTACAATCATCATTATTATTAATTAATAATAATAATAGTAATAATAATAATAATAGTAATAATAATGATAATAAAAGTTTTAAGTAATTAAAAATTGAAATACCATGACTCAATTAATAATTAACGGTTACGGTATTTAATTTTTTAATACAAAAAAAAAACACGTTAAATGCGTAAAAATCGTTTGTTATAAATAATGATAATGTTTATGTTTTGTTTGTTCGTTTGTTTGTTTGTTTGTATGAAAACATAAAAAAGATTTTTTTGTTTTGTGTTTGTCGGAAGGATGTCGATATACTTTCCGTCATTTTTTAATTTTTAATTTCGTTATCGAGTTTTGTAAAGTTGTAACCGTGACGTTTTTTTTTTTTTTGTAATTTTTTTAAGTTGGCAATACTTTTTTTTGTTTAAAACAATTTAGTAACGTTTACACGGTTTTTTTTTCAAAATTTTATTTTTATTTTACGGTAATTTAATTATTTAACGGAAATTAAGTAACTTAATCGTAGTAGTAGAATTAATAAAAATTTTTTTTTCTTCTTCTTCTACCGCGCAAAAACGTTTATTTATTCTATGATTTTATTATTATTATTATTTAAATTAAATTTTTTTTTTTTAAAGGTTTGCAATCGTTCGAAAGGAACGAATTAAAATTATTTGAAAAGAATTAAAAATGACCAAGGGAGAGGGGAAAAAAAGAGAATAAAAAAAAAAAAAATTTGCGTTAATCCGCCATATTAATTTTTAAAAAAAAGGACGGCTGCGGGGGGAGGGGGGTTTATTAGTCATTATTATTATTATTATAATACGGTTAACCACATTTTCTCATACCTTTTTTTTTTTTTTTAAATTTTTAAATTAATTTTTATTTTATTAATCGACCGTAAAAAATTTTTGAATTATTTTTATTGCCGAACAAATAAATTTTTTTTTTTTTTTTTTAGTTAAACGGATACGGAAATGAAATACCAATATATTTTATTTTTCATTTCCTTTTTTCTACGCCATTTCCGCCGCGTCAATTTTAAACAAAATTTTTACTCGGAAAAAAAGGTAAAAACAAATTCAAACCACAACATTTTTTTTTTGTTTTGTTTTTGTTTTTTTTTTTTAAATTTATTTCGATAGTAAATGAGAATTGTAAACTTTTTGATCTCTTTTGATATCTCTCCAGGCTTCTAAATTCACGATCGGTATCGAATTAAAATCGTCACAGGAAACAATCGAATTGCTGGAACAAAACAAAAAAAAGAAAAATTTTTGAATTTTCCAGAGAGAGCGAATCGAATTAAATCGTAAGCTAAACATAAAAAAAAAAAATCACACAATAAATAACATTTAAAACGTTTTCATCTACGTTTACTTAAATGAGATGCGATTAGAAGATGGGAGGGGAGAGGTTAAAGGTCACGAAATATTGAAAAATTAATTTTTACCTCGCGAGATCTACTTTTATTTATTATAATTATATTTTGCAAAAATGTTACCCGGTTAACATTATTGTTTACGATCGAACGAATTTTAATACACAATGAAATAAATTATTATTATTATTATTATTATTATTAGGGTGAAAGTTTTTTTTTTTAGAGTCGCTAAATCGATGACGATTCAGGTATGAAGATGAAATCGTCATCCAAAGTGCAAAATATTTACTAATGGAAAAGAAAAAGAAAAAAGAAAAATTTTTCGTGCGTATCGAAATAGTTGTTAAAATTATTTGAAATTTTCTCTCTCTAAACAGGTGAGAACCATCTGGAATTATTATTATTATTATTATTGTTTACATTTCGTCATCGTCGTCTAACCATCTTTAAACGTTTTCGATTAATAAAAAAAAATTTTTTTTTTACCGACCGCAATAAATTAAAAAAAAATTCTCTCATAATAACTCTGGAGAGTCCTCCTAATCTCGAATTCCAACAAATTTATTATTATTATTATTTCGTACCCGCCGTACTCGAAAATATTTTTTTTTTCTAAAACGAGTTCATTACCCTTTTATTATCACGATCGTTCTCATCATCATCATCATCATCATCATCGAAGTAGTTAGTTAGTTATTATTATTATAAAATTTTTTTTTTGTATTAATAAAAAAATTTTTTTTCTTACAAAAAATTGACGAAAAATTTTTTGATGACGTCATCATCCACGTGATAACGTCATCATACACGTGTTAACTTAGAGAGATGAAAGAAAAGAAAGAGAGAGAGAAAAGATATCATACAAATGTAGTTAAAGTATTCAGGTTGCCTTCGGGTACGAGTAACAGTACTTTATAAACAAAAAGCAGAAGAAGAAGAAAAATTGTTAATAATAATGATGATAAAATGTATTAATAATTAATTAATTAAAAATTACTTACTATTCTGTTAACACTTGAAAAGCTTTCGGTTGCATTGATAAAACCTTATCAGAATTATCACACAATAATCTTGCGAGACTCGATTTTTTTATTTCGATCAATTGAGCTGGAAAAAAAATGAAATTTTTTTTTTTTTAATAAGAAAAAAAAAACTTAATGATAATAATGATAATTACCTGGTGTAAATGATCCGACGTTATTTCCACGTTCGTAAAAAAATCTATCGGAAACTCTTGTCCTGTAAAATTGTTCTAACATAATGCATAAATACGTCGGACCCGAAATTGTTTCCGGTACGAGTTTTTCAATCGCTCCTCCCACGACCAAATCTACGTCATCCGGATGTGCGTAATATTTTTTCAATCGATTCACGTTCTGTAAATAAAAAAAAAAAACGTAATTATTATTATTATTTCCTTCCCGTCCCACCCCCAGCCCCCTATCGAGGGGTTAACGAGTTTTTTAAATGACGAACGACAGCAGAAGCAAAAGAAACAAGAAGAAAATTACGTAAAATATTAATAATAATAATTTTTTTTATTAATTTATTCAAATATTTAAATTTTTATATTATGCGATGATGATAATCGTTATCAATCGATTTATTGATTAAAAATAATTTTAAAAAAAAACCAGATTGATAATGATTATTATTATTATTATTATTATTATTATTATTATTAAATAAGTAATGATGATGATAAAAAGTTAAGCAAGTTATTTTTTTTTTTTTAGTTTACGTAACCGTTTCTTTTTTTTATTGTCGCGACAAAAATTTTATAGCGAGGTTTTTTTATGAAACAGGTAAAAAATCCATCAGGAAATCGATTGGCACAAAAAAAAGGCTAAAGAACTTTCTAGAAAAAAAATAAAATAAAATAAAGTCGAATCGTAAAATTTAAAAAAAAAAAAAAAAAAAAATGGCGCGTTGTTGATTTTTTATTTCTTTTGAAAAATAAAACGGAAATTGAAAATTAATTTTATGAAAATTTTACGAAAAATTTTATGAAAATTATTTTTTATTTTACCTCGTAAGCGTTTAAGAAAACGACGTTATGATAACGTTATAAACGGCAGTTATCTTAACATTTAAGAAAATAAAGTTATGATAAGTGTTATGAAACAAACAATGTAAGTGTAATTAAATATTCGCGTGTCGCGTTTGTCACTCCATTTTTTATACAAAACGAAAATGAATGTCGCGTCATAGAGTAAAAAATAAATAATCATAGATTAAATAAAATTTTTTTTTTAAATGTTGTTTGTTTGTTTGTTGGTTTGTTTTATTACCTCGAGATCGATATGATCCAAAAAATCATTAAAATTTTCGGCTCTTTTAAATCCGCAATAAGCTCTTAAATCATTATATGATGGTAAACCGTGATCTCTTCCTCTTTGTATGTCTATCGTTTTCAAATCGAAACCTATCGTTTCTCCATTTCTAAAAAGGAAATCCGTTACCTGTAACAACAATAACAACAACAACAATAAAACCGACATTTTCTTTTTTTTTTTTATGCTCTATTTCGTATATAAATACCTCGCTTGTAAGATATTGATCTGTTGCTCTTTGAGGTTGACTAGCTAAACCTCTCACCAAATCATCAAAATTATTTGATTCTTCAATAATTGTTGGATCGTTATAATGATCAGATAATCTAATCGAACCGTGATTAAAACGATTTTCCGATACCAACCTGTAAAAAAAAATTTGTAAAAATTTGTCGTCGCCATTACGGAAAATCGCCATTTTGTTTGTTTGTTACTCACTCTATAAATCCTTGTATGTTTGTATGAAACAATCTAAAAGCAGCAGTGGCGTGTTCGTTTAAAACGCTTGGATCTACATTTTCGTCGTAATCATCAACATAACCGTATTTATTATCATTATAAATGATACCTCGTTTAACGAGATTTTTATATCCTTAAAACAAATTAATGCAATTAAACATTTTTTCACCGCCATTTTTCCACCGCCATTGCCGCCACCACCATCGTTCGTAAAAACTTTTTATGTAAATAATTTTTTTTTTCTCTCTTATTTACGGTTGCTTAACCATGTATTAATTATTTAAATTTGTTTATTATTAATTAAATAACTGTTTTTTTTT